TTCTCTAGAGTATTGAGCCCGAGATCATGAGTGTCGCCACCGGGCCAATCTGACTGGAAATAAATTGTTATTGCATGGAGGAACTGTATGTATGAGCCCAACATTAATTGGCTTTCTCTTAGGCCTTGGGAACCTTCATTCGATTAATTTTCAACTAAACAACTGAGATTTTGAATGAACATGACTGTTTTGTTTAAGTTCATCAACATGGTTGATGGTCGATTTTCTTCGGATCCAATTTCCTTGTATCACATTCAATCACATGTTAGATTTCTTGTTGATATCTTTATTGAGGATTTTTCTTAGCGTAATTCACCTATGATTCTATTTAAACGGATTTATACGCGTTTGATGGAATTCTGTGGATGAGAAATTGGTGGGGACGAAGATTTTTTTTGTTTTTTTCAAATTTACCCTTTTTTAAAAATAAATTAATAAACGATTTTAGGAGCACCGAAGCAAAGCCCTACATTCAATTCAAATTAATGATACAGCAACCGTTATGTCTTGTTGCTATAATGCTATATATGCGACCAAATCCGAATCTAAATTCTATCCATCCATCGATTATCGCAATTAGTAACAATTTCGATCAGAAAAAATTTATCATTATCATTTATCTTGATATTTTACAGGCATTGGATGGCTAGTATGCTCATCTGTCATCGACATCTGAAGGCACATAATTGTCCTCATCCTTCGAATCAGTTAATTGTTACTTGGGGGGAATATGTATCTGAAAATATATCCGAATTAGGATACGAATATGATTACTAAATATCTATTTTTGATACGGAATGTTTACGGATACAGATAGTAGTGAAATATATGGATCCGTTTTCGAATTATGTGGATACATGTTGGTTGTGTATTTAGCTGGCTAGGGTATCTTTATGGTATCCCATCCTTTTTGGACAGGCCTACCGCCAACCTCCTTCCATACAAATGGATGATACATTCAATTCAAATTAATGATACAGCAACCGTTATGTCTTGTTGCTATATATGCCACCAAATCCGAATCTAAATTCTATCCATCCATCGACTATCGCAATTAGTAACAATTTCGATCAGAACAAATTTATCATTATCATTTATCTTGATATTTTACAGGCATTGGGTGGCTAGTATGCTCATCTGTCATCGACATCTGAAGGCACATAATTGTCCTCATCCTTCGAAGTAGTTAATTGTTACTTGGGGGGAAATATGTATCTGAAAATATATCCAAATTAGGATACGAATATGATGACTAAATATCTATTTTTGATACGGAATGTTTACGGATACGGATAGTAGTAAAATATATGGATCCGTATTCGAATTATGTGAATATATGTTGGTTGTGTAATTGCAATAGTTTTAATTATTACCTTAATGAATTTGAGGTTAATGTTGATAGTCAAAAGGTCCAATCTTAGCTTTCCAAATATGATAAACATAGTGATGAACTCTCTACCATATGCAATATACTTTTTTTAAATATTATTTGATTTTCTCACATATGTTTTGTATCCGGGTGTATTTTTCGCAAGTATATATATTCACATCTGATTTTAGCATATATGTATATGATTTTTTCTTTTTAAGACATATTTGTATTCATATACAATTTGTGATAGGAAAGAGGATGCAAATATGGCAAGTACCAAAAAAAGAAAAAAAAAGTAAGTGGTTATAAATCAGAGAGAGAGAGAGAGAGAGAACTTTCAAATAATCTATACATTTTCTACAGGGGTGTGTGCTGTACATATTCAAATGTGACAAGAGCCGTCCCACGGCGAAAGAAGATATTTCAATTTCAAAATAAAAATTTAAAGCTTTTATTATATATGACACATACTTTTTTACTGATTAACGTAGATTCTTTATATTAAACAAGATCATCTCCACCTGATCATAGTCAGTTGTATACTTCAGATGATTGAAACAGCTGCAATTTATGCACGTGCACGTTCGCAGCATGAGTCTCTAGCCATACAAAAGCACACGTATCTCAAACAAGATTAGAATTATACAAGCTGCATTTCTCTTCCTTCCTCTTCCCCTTCGTTCCCCTTCCTTCCTCCTCTCTACCCTCCTTAAAAAAAACTCTCAAACAAGATGAAAGCTGCATTTCTCTTCCCCTTCCCCCTCTCTACCCTCCATCCAAACAGGGCATTAGTGACGAGTCGAACCTTCTAGTCTAACAAGGCATTCCCAATTAATTTGTAGCATTTTGATTTGATTCAAAGTATTAATGCAGCGAGCATACAATCAATCTGATTGAAGACGAAGCATGCAGAAATGTAAAGGGAACAATATTTATCACTCCTCTGCTCACTCTAACTGCATGATAGAAAATCATGCGACGCATATTTTGACAAATGAACGATAGTGTGCATTTCCTCTCTTCGAATTTCTAAAAATTTCAATCTTATCTAGAAACCAACATTCTAGTTGAAATATCTGCAATCCAAACTCATTCTCTACAACAAATCCATCTTGGCCCATTCAGGTGTTGGGCCGTTTGTACGAGGACCCAAAGCCCTACCCGAACCAAAACCTCAGCGGACTGCTACAAATGATCCTGCACTCAAACGTCCCATGGCGTACAGATTTAGAACTAAACTAGGTATGAGTCCAACTTTATATTACAAAGATATTAAAACTTGTAGAGAGAAAAGATAGCCATAAAGCTAGTTTTTCTATTTAAATTAAGTTATAAATTCTTTTTTAATTTGTAATTATAAATGTTAATATTATTTTGTTTAATATTGGCTTCGAGTTTATCATTTTATTTTTCTAAAATTTCCAGGATACTCTAGCTGTAGTTGTACTTGAAAAGTTTATGTTGCACTCGATGCCATTGTAATCTCATTCTAAAGGTGTACAATAATTAGAGAAAAATCTTGAAGTTGAATATGCTATGCAAACAATTCCCCAAAAAATGTGTCAGATTCATACTTTTAATAATTGTAACTATATGATTTTATTTTATTTCTAATTAGTATTCGAGAGGGTTGTGCAAATAACTCGATAAGTTC